AAACCAACCAGACATTTTGTCTCTTTTAGGCCTTTTTGGAGGGGATTCTTCGCACTTTGAAGGTGTCTGTGTCCAACTCTGCAACCCTGCATTTAAACCAGTGTTAAGACAAGCAAAGGCCCTTTTATTTTGACCTTGGAGGGGGTTCCCTTTGTTCTTACCCCCATCCCAGTGCAAGACCGTCCCATTAATGAGTACCTGACTGACAGTGGCACCAACTCTTGCCCAGCACCCCCTGCCCGGGGCACCCATGGGTGCTCAGCCCCCCCCCCCGAGGAGGGGACAGACCCTCGTTCAGGCACCCACACCCCGGTAATTTTGGTCTGAATGCTGCATTGTTAGGGCTGAGCACACACAACAGCTTTTGGCCTCCTGTTACACCTCGGGGCAAAATCCTCGGGAACAGGCAGAAAGAATTAAAGGGAAATAAGTGCGTGTGAATGTCCCATCCCGGGCTGGCTCTGAGAAAGGACACTCGGAGCTGCCAGCGGCCAAGCTGGGACACAGGCATCGAGAGGGGGGATAAAGGGGGGACACGGAGGGGGCGGGGAGGTGGTCCCATGCAGCAGATGTCCTGCTGGGAAGGGAAGGAAGGGAGGTGGGAATGAGCAGAGTCAAACCCGAGGGATAGGTTTTGCTTCTGGAGATGGATTTGCCTCAATCGTCTTTACATGGGTTTGTTCCCCATGAGGAGAGACCCTCTCCTGCTGTCCCTGCTCTCCCTGCCTTTTCCTCCCTGTGAAAGAAGGATGATCAGCCAAAAATCTTTCTGGTTTTCTCCTGTTTTCTGCTAATTCCTCTGAAAAGTAATTACCCCCCATCCCCTCCAGGCAGACAGTCGCCTCTTCTCTCCCGGCTCCTCTGCAAACTACCTGTGGCTATTTCGAGGCTTTGGTTTGCCATGTCCCCGTCCCTCCTGGGTGGGAGGAGGCCGGGATGGCACCCAGCCCATCTCCAGAGATGCCAAGGAACAAACTTGGGGAAATAAGCTTCTGCTCAGGCTGGGAAATAGCACCAAGCACGGCGAGACCAACCCGACCTGCCCCTCACGTGCTGCCTTGGGCCAAAGTGAAGGGCACCTCAGATTCCCTGTTTATCCCAGAGCCCTGATGTTTCCAAATGAGCTGATCTAGCTTGCAAAGGTTCAGACAGGGAAGGGAGAGAAAATTCCCAGGCTCGGTGGTGCGTGACTGAGCCTCTGGCCGCTGCCCAAGTGATCAGGGTTCTGATCACAGCACCGATGGCAAGTGGGCCTGGCCACTCATCCCCCCAAAACCAGAGAGAAACAAAGAAAGGAGTGGTGTGAGCCAGGATTTGAGATGTGCCACCACAGAGCTGCCCTCTGAGGCAGGACAGGGATATTCTCTGGGGATGAAATTTAGCCCCTGGAGCTTGGTCAGACAGGAACTGAGGGTGTTCTGGAGACCCCCTTGCCCTCCCCACGCTGCAAAACTTGAGTCTAAAAGAGGCAAATTTGGCACTGAACAGATTTCTAAACTACTCTTTAAAATACCCCCCAGCTGACGGTACAGTAGCCGCTCACACCACGCCGCCTGACCCAGGCTGGAGGCAAATTCCCGTGCAAGAGCTTTCTGCACTAGGTTTGTGCATGAACAGTTCACCATTTCCCACCTGGAAGGGAGAGCAAATGGAAGGAAATCCAGGGAAATCGGTCCCCCAGAGCCCCTGCAGCTGCCTGGGCCCCGGGACGCGGCTGCAGCTCAGAGCAGCTCGGCTGGGGAGCGGAGCCTGCGGCATCCAGCTGGAAGAGCAGGGGGGAAGAGAACAAGAGGATGTATTCTCCAAAACTTGGGCCCAGCCGTGCTCCGGGCCAAAGCCAACACGGGGCTGGTCCAGCTGTGCTGGATCCTGCCCTTCTCCGTGCCCGGCGCTCCCGCTCGGCCCGGCGGCCGCGTTCGGAGCACGAGGGAGCTGCTCCTGCTGCGCTTTGGCCCCTTTTGTGTCTGGCCTGACAGACGCACCACGGCGTGTCCCACCATCTCCAGCAGCCTCCTGCTTTCCCCCTCTCTCACTGGGACTTCTAATGCTGTTTCTGCACGTGAGCCTTGGCAGGGACTGAGCACCGACCCAGGCAGAGCCACCGCACTGCTCTGCCCCGTGGAAGAGGCAACAATTCCCCAAACTCTTCCAAGCTCTTCTGCATGGCCTGATCCTGCCCCCCCTGCATCCCATCGCTGCAGAGCAGCCCCCAGCCCCTCCGCCCATCCCTCGAGGGGGAAGGGGTTTGACTCGCTCCGTGCTCTTGGCCCCGCTACAGAAACTGCTGGAGAGTCTGTGCTGCAAAGTCCCCGCGGGGTCCCGGCAGCTGCTGCGCTCACACAAACACGGACATGAACACACACTCAGGGGCACCAACACACCCTCAGCTCCACACAGCCGTGCACACTCACACTCACACTCACAGTCACACTCACACAAACACACAACCATACATTCCCCCCACAAAACATGCTTACACGCACCCCCCATCCACAACCCC